AAAAAAAAAATCAACAAATCATTTCATATGGAGTCTCACATGGTTTTTCTCATTTATATTACTGAAAATTAACTCACCAGTTCTATCTGAAGTTAAGCCTTATTGGATGTACCCCTTCCAGTAGCCAAGTTCCATTTTCATTTAAGGTGCATGTAAGCATTTGTTGTTAATTTACAGTGGAGTTGGCACTAAAGGCATATTTACAAAATCCTGGCTGATTTTAAAGCAAATGAAAATTTTAAGAGCGCAACTGTATTTTCAGTGGGGACTTAAATAGATTCCACAGACACAGCAATAACTAAAGAGTTTCAAACTGTGCATTTGAAAAAAGCATTTAATGTTTTTCCTAGCCTAAGTTTATCATAAATTCAAAGTGCCAAAATATATATTTTTGGACTGCTTTTGTCAATAAGAAAGATGTAAAGTTAGTACTTTGTACAGAATGGCTGTGAGTTATCGGCATGAAAAGTAAGTTATTTAATGTCTGAAGAGACAGAGAAATACAACCAGTGTGCATGAAAGGGATAATGAGTACAGACAGAGGTAAGCAGTCTCTGGTGGCATTCAAGGAGTCCTTTCTGGTTACATGTAAAATAAGTGTAATAAAAACATGAAGATACTTTAAAATAGCATTATAAAATTTGATGCCATCAAATTACAACCCATTATAATAACAGGGGATATCAAACTATTTCTTTCTCCTTCAAAAGCCAGATAAGAAATTATTCAAACTTAATTCAAAAGAAGAGGCATGGAAAAATCAAAACTCAGATTTACTACCTTTCCAAGAATTGTATGAATAGGTTCTTCTTCTTCTCCATATTCTGGGCCCTCCATTTTCCACTGCTTCACAGTTTTGTCATCACCAACCTGGAAATATTGGAGAAATCATGTACAGTTTTATGTAAATATATTCCCTTTTATTTTGCTAGATGGGCTTTGCAATTAAATACATGCATCCTTTAAAAAAAACACTCTGTGATATACACACATGCTTCATCCTGCCTGTTCACTGCTCCATTTTATACCTCCAAGCTACAGAATAGCTCTCCTGATCATAATATGTTGTTAAAACATGTATAGGGGCTGACTGGAGTGAACAGTCTTCATAGCAGCCCACCTGGCACTGTGTGGTTTGTTTGTTTTTTTTTTATTTGTGGCTGAAACAGTGCTGATACAGCACCCAAGCCTTGGCTGTGCTTGCTGGGTGCCGAGGCATTTCCCCCTGCTCCCACTGTCTCCACCACCCCTGCCTCACCCCCCAGCAAACAGGCTTGGGGTGGGCAGCACACAGGGAGGGGACACAGGCACGACAGATGTCCTGGACTGGCCAAAGGAGTATTTCATACCATAGAACAATGCTCTGAAATAAAAGCTGCAGTACTGGGAGCACAAAGAGGAGGTGGGGCCTGGCTCCACAGTGGCTGCTGCTCAGATTGTCTGGAGATCTGTCGACTTCTGAGAGCAGGCAACTGATTCCCAGTTTGTCACTTGTATCCCACCACCACCTTTCCTTCACCAATTCCACTGTCTATCTTGACCCAAAAAGCTTTTCCAGTTTCTGAAACAGATAGCTGAATAGGAAAAAGGTGAGCTGGAATGACGGCTATTTTATAAGGCTACATTTTGTGATTTTTAATCAACTGGTACTCTAAACTGCAAATTATCTTCTGGAAATCACTCGGATGAGTTAAAAGGCCCTTTCCACCTCAGTTGCTCTGGTTGCCTGTTCCAAATTTTGTTCTACCTCTTGCACTAATGCCAGCACAAGCTTTTGCATGGCTGTGCAGTGACCTGGATCATTCAAACAGGCCTAAAAAAATGTTAGCTTTACAAGTTTATCTTCCCCTCCCTGAATACACTACTACTGTTTCTTCTCTCCCTCTCTCAATTTTCAGGCAGACAGATTGTCAAAAGGGTAGTAACTAACTTGGAGTCACTTATGATTTTTACTGTGACTTTCCCTATATCCTAACTTCTGTCCCTGTGACCTGGTATAAATCTTAGATAAATATACTGTAGTGAAAATGTCTCTTCTATGACCAGTTCAAATGAAACAACCTCAGGACACTTTCAGTTTTCAAAAACAGTTCTTGTGTTATCTTAGAACTGTTTTAATGCCAACAGGAAGACATACTATTTCCAAGCAGTTTACATGCAACTGAATCTGTTGAGGTTGTTATGAATTAATAAAGCTTTACTCACACAGAATGATTTAACTTAATGAGATCATTTTTAATCATAGTATATGCAAATGGTTACTTCTTTACATGCTTTCACGTCTTTCAATGAACATAATCCATTTACTACTTTAATGAAAACTAGTTTACTCGAGTTTTAATTACATGCCCATCTGTCAGCTATTTTCTGGTATTTATCCCTTCGATGGTTTTGAATGACATCTGTACCAAAGCATCAGAAAAAATATCATTGTAAATAGAACTGTTGGGTTCACCAACATATTTAATAAGTGTACTCATACAATATTTAAATATTCCATGGCAGAGAGCAAGTTTCTCAGTGGAAAACAGATGGTGAACAGGTACTCTGTGCTGCTGCACTGTTAAGGAGACACGTAATACTTACAGTGAAGAATGATGTACCACAGAAACGGGCACACATGCCTCGAACAAAGCCTTCATGGGCTTGTATAGTGCGGATACACTGTCGTTTGGTCAAGTTCCAAATTTTAACCTGATAAAAACAAAAGAGCAAATATTCTGTAAGCTTTCCACAGCCCACAGCTGCAGTTCACAATTCAAGAACAAGAGATCACACATGTTGTAATGAAATGGCAGAGTTGGCTTGGACACTGGTCAGATTTTATCATTAAACTAATTATTTCTTTCTTGAAAAATAATTTTAAAAGTGAGGCTCTTTCATTCCTACCCTCTCCCCTGATCTAAGCTGCATACTTGCTGCATTTTGCACTCTCCTATTTTTCAACTAGAATGCTTGCTAAAAACAGCAGCAGTTACTAATTTAGCAAAAAATACCCCTTTAAAGACAAAAGCACAAATAAATTTGGAGCCAACAGAATTTTTTCAGTCCAGTTGCTGTACTACATTTTCTATAGATGTCCACCTCTCACAGAGGCTTCTGTTTCAAAGCTTTTGGGCTCATTAAAAAAAAAAAACAACGAAGAAATGGAGGTCATTTTTTACATTTTTATTTATTTACACTACCCAGTACTTTACTCCCTCTACCAGTGGATAAGAAATCTGGCTAAATTTTCATAGAAATTTGTTTTTTCTCTGAAAAGTTTAACCTCCCTTATACTGGTGCAGGACATGCACTTTTTATAAAAAGAGAAAAGCAACTAAATGCCCATAAGATACCTTTAAAGTATTCAAGTACTATCAAATGAGCCATGGAAAGGTAAGAAAAGACAGGGAATTCAGAAAAGACAGGTAATTTTTTCTGCAACTAGTTCCAATTAAAGTGGTGATTGTTATTTATAACATTTACATAAAACAATCAAATACATATATAGGGTTAGCCTCTTTTAGGCAGTTTGAAAAATTGTTATTCCAAGAAATTTTTGGTTGTGTGCCCCTTCCCCCTAGCTAATCTGGCCGTTTAACTTCTTTAGGAGGAGGAGTGTGGGGGTCATGTGGGCAGCAAAAAGCAATCACAACATATAATGGGTTTGCATAGCCAGGTTTTGGTAGTGGGAGTCTACAGGGGGGGCTTCTGTGAGAAGCTGCTGGAATCTTCCTCCACATCCAGCAGAGCCAATGCCACCCAGTTCCCATATGGACCCACCACTGGCCAAGGCCAGGCTAGTAAGAAATGGTGGTAACAACTCTGTGATAAGAGGGAATAAAAGTTAGTGGGCAGATGTAACTGCACTCAGAGAGGAGAAAGAATACGTGAGAGCAATAACTCTGCAGACACCGAGAGGAGGGAAGAAGGAGGGGGAAGAGCTGAGGTTCCCCTACAGACTGTCATGAAGACAATGGTGAGGCAGCTGTGTCCCTGGCACCCATGGAGGAGGTTAATGGGAATGCAGAGATCAGGTGCACCTGTGGAGAAGACTGAGGCCAGATGCACCCAAAGAAGGCTGTGATCCACAGCAAGCCCTCGCTGGAGCAGGCTTCTGGCAGGGACCTCTGGACCCATGGAGACAGGAGCCCACACACTGGTGCAGGTTGCCTAGGACTTATTAACCTGTGGGGGACGCACGCTGGAGCAGCCTGTTCTTGAAGGATTGCACAATGCAGAACAGTCATCTACACAGCAGCAATTCATGAAAAGCTGCAGCCTGTGGAAAGGACTCACACTGGAGAAGCTCATGGAGAACTATCTCCCATGGGAAGAACCCCTGGTGGAACAGCAGAACACCTCCTCTCCCTGAGTAGAGGCAGGAACAACTTGTAATGAACTGACAGTAACCCCCTTCCCCATTTCCCTGTGCTGCTGGGGAAGAGAAGAAAGAGCCTGGGAAGGTGGGAGAAAGATAGTTTCAAGGTCTTATTTTTCTTCTCATTATTCTGTTCTAAGTTTATTAATGATAAATTCAATTAATAACCCCAAGTTCAGTCTGTTTGTCCTTGGTGGTAATAGGTGAGTGTCCCTGTCCTTATCTCAACCCATGAACCTTTCACTAGTTTGTCTCCCCTGTACAGTGGCAGAGTTATAGAACAGCAAAAAGTTTCATCTTCTGAGAGAGGATGAAGATAACACGATGAACAATAACAGAAAAGTAAAGCGTGACAAAACCAACCAAACAACCTAACAAAACACAAAAGAGAATAAAGAAAATAATGTAACTTCTTTGTTGTGGTTTTTAAGCTTACCTCTCCATCACAAGCTCCAGACAGTACTGTAGACAAACTTTTTGGGTGTTTGGCCATGCAATTAACTCCATCTCTGTGGCCATCAAGCGAACTAAGAAAGGGTTTTGCAAACACACGTTCTAGCTTTGTGGCATTCAGAGCTCTTACGTACTCTCGTGCAACCTCAAATGGATGCAATGCAGGGTCATAGTTCCTTGGAACTGCAACAGAAAGAACACATATTAGAAACCCATGCTGGAGCAGGTCCAGAGGAGAGATGATCAGAGGGATGGACTACCTCGCCCGTGAGGAAAGGCTGTGAGAGCTGGGGCTGTTCAGCCTGGAGAAAAGAAGGCTCCGGGTAGAGCCTCACTGTGGTCTTTCAGTACTTAAAGGGGGCTATGAGAAAGATATGGACTTTTTAGACAGTCTGTTATGATATGACAATGAGTGACAGTTTTAAAGAAGTTGCCCTCCTGCTCTGACGCCGCTCCCAGCCCAGGCTCTGCCACCCCGCGATGCCGCTTCCGGCAGTCCCGGGGCCCGGCGAGGGAACCGCACGCGAATCCTGGCCTGGGACCGGCACCAGCGGGGAAAACTCCCGCCGCTCGGAAGGAGGGAAGCCCAAAGCCCACTCTCGGTGCCCGAGCTCTCCGATTCTCGCTGCCAGTGGGCACCAGCGCAGCGGCGAGCGGAGTGGGGTGGGGCGGGACGCGGACCACGGGCGCCCGAACGCCTTCCTGCCTTCCTCCCTCCTGCGCCGCCGGTCTCATCCCTTCCGGGCGGGCTGTGCCGTGCCGGCCGGGCAGAGGGCCAGTCCCGGAACCTCGCTCACCGCGCTGCAGGTCCAGCTTAGTCTCCCTCACGTAGTCATCGGGGTTGCGGCTCAGCACCTTCACCTTCATCGCGCCGCCGCACCGCAGGCCCCGCGCGCACACGTGACCGGACGCACCGCGCGGGCCGTTCTCGCGCTAGGGCGCGAGCCCCGACGCGGTCCCGCCCACCTGTGCGCGCGCAGCCGGCCATGGGCGCCGCGGGCCTCGCGTGCGCGGCGCGCGAGCCGCTGCCCCGGGAGCCGCTGCCCCGGGAGCCGCTGCCCCGGGAGCCGCTGCCCCGGGAGCCGCTGCCCCGGGAGCCGCTGTCACGGGAGCCGCTGTCACGGGAACCGCCGTCCCGGGAACCGCCGTCCTGGGAACCGCCGGCGCGCTCCGTGCTGCGGCATGTGCGGCTGGAGAACCTGGCGGCGGGAATGAGCGGCGGCGTCCTGTCCACCCTGGCGCTGCACCCGCTGGACCTCGTCAAGATCCGCTTCGCAGGTGAGGCCGGACCCGCCGCCCCCCGCCGTCCTGCGCTAAAGACGCCCTGGCGTGCCCGAGCTCGCCAGGCCCGGCCCAGGACCTGCCCGGGTCCTGCCGCGCTTCCTGCCCAATGCCCGCGCTGTTCTGCCCGCCTCGTGCGCGGCTGCAGCGCCCCGGTGCCGGCGGGGCAGCCCCACGGCTTGGAATAAACTGGCCATAAGGCCAAAGGGACGGTCTCCCATTCTCTTCCCTGCTATTCCCTTCTTGTCGGTGGTCGGGACTGTGAAATGTGCGCTGTGCCTCGAGCTGTTCCCAGGCAGAGCAGAGCCTGCCAGCCTCTTCCCGCCCTTCCGTGACCACCGGTGCCAGAGGACAGCGGAGCACTCACTGCCGCTAACAGCCTTGTCCCAAGCCCGCGGTCAAAGTGCACCTTTATGCCACCGATTTTCAACACTCAAAGCCTAACGGTAGTTTTTGAATAACCTTGGTCGTTAACAATAGCGGTATTATTTTGCAGAAAACTCTTTGATTAGTTTGTTTTTCCATAGGTAAACGTGGTGACTTCTATTGACTTTTCTGCTGATTTAGGAAACTTGCCCCCCATTTATCATATTCTCTTTTAGAGAGGTTGAAACGTTTTACTATATCTTTTTGTTATTTTCTTAAATAGACACATGGATATTTTAAGATCTCAAAATCAAACCATGACAGAGACATTTCACAAAATGTAAAGCATTGCATGTCCTACTTGGGTACATCCTGGGCTGCATTATGAAAAGCATAGCCAGCGGAAGGGCTCTTTTCTCTGTTTTCTATTTGTAAGAATACATCAAAGTACCATGTCTAGTTTGGGGCTCTCCCAGACAAGGAAGGAAGGTGATAAACTGGTGTGATTGTAGTGGAGGCCACCAGGCTGGTGAAGGGGCTGGAGCACATGGCATAGCACGGGCTGACAGAACAGGCTCAGTTTGGCATCAGAGAGGAAGGGCTGAGGGGAGCTAAAATTGCAGTCTGTGACAGCGTTATTGGAAGACACAGAGCAGGTAAAGTCAGATTCTTGGACATAGTTAGTGGGCCAAAAAGGAGCAGGCGCAAGCATGAGCAGGGAAAGTTCCAGTTATTTTATTGTGAGAATGGTCAAATACTGGAAAAAGTTGCCCAGAGAGGCTGTAATCTCTCCAGCCATGGAAACATTCAGGAGTCAGCTGGTCGTGTCCTTAAGTAACCAGATCTAATTAGATCTGGTTTGAGTACAGGTTTGGATTAGGTGGCTTTTGGAGGTCATGTACTTTCACATGCTTCTTTGGGTTGAAAATAACAATTCCTATGTTTTTTCTTCAACCAGGGAGCAGGAGCCAATATCAGAAATGAATGTTGTGAAGATTCTTGGCAGCATCATTGACAGAAAGACTTGCATTTGTGTCTCTGATTTCCCGTGTTGTTTAATATGTTTATAAACTTGATCTAGTGTCTGCATGTTAAAAAAATTCACAAATGTCTTTGGGAAGGGTCTAGCAGCATTTATTCAGGAAGGAGAAAAGAGATGATTGTGTTATAGTTTTGGGTGGTTGTCAGGGTGTTGAGGCCTTGTCACACTGTGCTCAGCAAAATAATTTTGTCTTTGGTGCTGAAATCTGTCACAATGTGCAGCACCAGACACAGAGTTCAAGGAGAATGAATAATACATGTGGCACTGAACAGAAACACCTGTTTACCAGGATTAATTTTGATGGGGACACAAAAACTACACTTCTTGTAAAACTTGGAGATAATTTTCAGTACAGTTGCAGTCTAGCCATATGTCTATATTAAGAATGAAAACTGCTGCTATGTTGGCATCATAGAATAATTTAGGTCAGAAGAGAGTTAAGGAGTTCACCCCCTACTCAGATAAGCTCTGCTTAGATCACTTTGTTCAGTCGTAGTGTACTGGAGTTTTGAGTAGCTCTAAAGATGCTCTTCAGGCAACTTGTTCAAGTATTTGGCCACTCTGCTTGATGAAAAGTTCTTGTCAGAATTCCCTGTATTTCAGCTTATGTCTGTTACCTCTTGTCATCCCACCATGGACCATATCACATATGTATCACATATGTCATCAGTAATCAGCTTACTCTCTTGCTGTTGTGGTAGGAGCAGTAGTAGTTACTACTCCAAGTTTTGTGGATATCCATGTTCTACATGATCTTCAGGCGAAAGCTTATGTGTTTTCTATATTTTTGAAGTGACATTTTCTGAATATTTGGAAAACCAGCTGTTTTTAGGTGGGAGAAGAAACCTTTGAGTATTCTGGTAAAAACTGACTTGGGAATTAGTAAGACGTGACCCATTGCTTTATAGAACATTTTAAAGAGATAATTTGAATGTAAGGGTTGTTACTTGGGTCTTGTCTAAACAACTTAGAGAAACATGTCAAGGTTCCCATCCAATTCACTTGAAATATGATGCAAAATTGCTGGAGTGCTAAAAAGAAGAGACAGAAAACTTGAAATTTGCTGCTCATCAAAAATGCATAAAAGTGCATTTGTTTAGCCTTGTCAGGTTAATAGGAACTTTCCTCTTGCTGAGCTAAGGAGGTATCTCTTATTTTTGTTTCTTTTTACCCCCCTTTTTCCCTTTTTTTTTCTTGAACTCTAGGCTTCTAAAGCTGTAAACCCCAACTCTTGCATACTTGTGAAATAATACTCTTGTAATATAGTTGATCAATTAAGTTTGATGTTTATTTATTGCTTGCTTTAGAGGTGTGGATTTCTGTGCTGGCTTGGATGCAGTTGAACTTTCTGCCTCCTGAAAAGGTTTCCATTATAATTTCTTTCTTTCACAGTAAGTGATGGATTGGAGCTGAGGCCAAAGTACAATGGGATTCTCCACTGCATGAGCACTGTCTGGAAGCATGAAGGACTACGAGGCTTGTATCAAGGGGTAACTCCAAACATGGTGGGAGCAGGGGCTTCCTGGGGACTTTACTTTTTCTTGTAAGTAGAACCCTAAAATGTGTCACACCCTGCACAATGTAGTGTTCAGATATACACAGCATCTTTGTGAGGTACAAAAATGTGCTAAATGACTTACAAACTTGTCATTCTCTTGGCTAGTCCAGGTCTGTTAATGTTTGTTACGGTTTGCTGTTCTAGAATTTAAGCAATTTGGGTCAGAGACCTGTTCCTTTGTCTGGTACAATGCATTCCCTTGATGCTGTGAAAATACTAAGGAATTTGGGAGGTAGTGATATCATTCATAAAGAATTCTCTAAAAGTGCCAATACACTGTTCTTAAAACCTCATGAAAGCAAGAATCTAAATTGATTTCTTAAAAATTAAAGAGCGTGAAGTTTTCTACTAAAACTAAATGTTCCTTTGTAATCATTTTAGTGACAGCTTTTTCATTGTTTTTGTCAGTTGTTGGACTTTGCTTTTAAAGCCGTTTTTAATATTCTACTTTGTTAGCTCTGTTACTGTGACCTGGGTTACTGCTTATCCCTATTACTTGAAATATTTTAGGGACTGTTTTAGTTAGGAACATTTTAGGGACATTTTAGTTAGCTGGCATGCCTATGCAAAAATCACTTGTCAGTTGTCTAGACTCTGTTACTGTTGTACTTTAGTCCTTAAGCTTTGCTGCAGATTGTTATTGAGAGTTCATCTTCTGTTGACAGTTTCTTAATTCACAAAGATTGCAAACTGGACCAAGAGAAGAAAGCTTAGTGTATGTCTGAGCTAGAGGGTAGCTACCTAATGCTGTGGTTTCCAATAAACTTCTTTTAGAACTGAATTCTTGATCTCCAGTTAATAATTATATTTTAGATGTATAATTATATATATATACTGTATAATAATTATATATTATATATAAAATAAAACTGTATATTATACATTATATATAATTATTACGTATTTTATATATAATATATAATATATATTATTATTTATATATAATATAAAATATATAATTTAATAATTTCAATATGCAGTCCCATTGATACTGACAGTTTAATTATCCAATTTAAATATATATTACCATAGTTCACTTGAAAGAGCTAACTGCTCAGAGACCAATTAATCAATTAAACAAAGGTAGTTTAGGTGCTTTTTCTTGAGAGGCTGTGTATGCCATGATTTTAAGTTAGGTATGTCATTCTGGACATGTGTTTTTTGTGATGTAGGTCTGTTTTCACCTTTACTAAATTATGTTGTATATTTTCCAGTTACAATGCTATCAAAGCTTACAAGAAGGAAGGGAAGATGGAAAGTCTCAGTGCGAGTGAGCACCTGGTGTCAGCTGCAGAGGCTGGTAAGGTTAAATGCAAAGATTAATGTTCCCTTGCAGCCCTTCCATATTCTGCTACCTGCCTTTCTGTGTCACTGCAGCTTTTTCTTACAGGTGGCAAGTGTAAGTGTTCCAGCCCAAATGCAATAGTTTGTTGTCTGTAAATAAAACAAAGAGGTCTGGCACAAATAGTTGGGTCACTGTGGTCCTTCAGTTTTGCACAGAATTAGCAGTGGTCAAAATGTCTTTTGTCCTTGTTTTCATTCTCTATAAGCACTTTCCATATTTAGTACTGTATAGGGGCCCAAAATGTAATGATAAATATGTGCTGCTATCAGATTGCTAACTTGTTAAAAGTTTAGCACTTGGACCTGGAAAGGACGTGGCCTGTTGAATCATGGAATGGTCTGGGTTGGAAGGGACCTTAAAAATAATCTAATTCCAACCATCTGTCATTGTCTGGGACACCTCCCACTGGATCAGGTTGCTCAAAGCCCCATCCAGCCTGGTCTTGAACACTTCCAGAGATGGGGCATCCACAGCTTCTCTGGGCAGCCTGCTCCACTGCCTCACCACCATCACATTAAAGAATTTCTGCCTCATATCTAACTTAAACCTGCTCTCTTTCAGTTTTAATCATTCCCCCTTGTCCTGTCTCTATCTGCTGTACAGGCAATTTGGAAGACTTTTTATTAGGATTTTGAAGCATTCATTTAATGTTGAAATATAAGGCATATTGTTTGACCTGAAACACCGTAATGGATTCTGCTACAATGATATTTTCAATAACCTGTAAAGTTATTACAGGTTGTTACTATTAACCTGTCAATATTATTAAGCAAATTTTTTATCACTGAGGTGTCCATTAAGTTTTGAATTATTGTATACTGAAGAATAACTCGGATGATCAGTGGTACATTAAGAAATTACATTTCCTGTCTACTTCAGATTATACTATTAACTGTGGAAAGGTGAAGCAAAAAAAGGGACTGTACTGGGAATATGCAAAAATGCTTTTTTGCCCTGCACAATACCCCCAGCAGGAGTGAATTGGACTTGACTGTGAGCTTTGAAGGAAGAGAGAAGGAGCAATAGAGGGCATAAACTTAGTGTTTTAAACAGTATGAGTACTCTGGTAGGAGAAGTAGTTTTGTCATTGTAGAAACCTGTGTTATATTGTTATATATATTACATATATATATATAATGTGAATAATATATATTGTTATATATATAAACTGGGACAATCTGTGGAGTTGGCATAACGAGTGTAACTTCTGTCTGTTCTCAGGAGCCATGACTCTCTGCATTACAAACCCAATATGGGTGACCAAGACTCGCCTTGTGCTGCAGTACAACGCTGGCGTGGATCCATCCAAGCGGCAGTACAGAGGAATGCTTGATGCTCTTGTGAAGATATACAAGACAGAGGGCGTACGTGGCTTATACAAGGTAATCACATTTAAGAAAAAATCCAGGATTGCCTGGCACCATCCAGTAGCATGGTGAGACTTCTAAATATTTGTCTATTAAAAGAAAAAATTGTAATAGGTCATTTTCATTCTGTGCGTCTTTCCCATTGAACTGCAGCAAAAAGGCTTAGTCAGAAGAAAAGCCATTATACTGTTGATAAACTGCTTTGTAATTTTTTTGAATCTTCCTATAATTAGAATTTTGATAAGCAGGGCAGCAACAAGTAATCTATGTTGCTGCTAGCACTTCCTTGCATTTTATCCTTTACCCTCTGTATTTCTAACATCTTCTGGAAGATAACATGACTAAAGTATTTGCTAGTTTTTTCTTCCACAATGGTTAGTTTCACAACTGTTTATTTGCCCTCTGGTTATTGATGTCTGTAATCTGTCATCTCTGGATACATTAAATTTGCAGACTTCTAAATATGGTCTGCATATTTGTGGTTTTTTTTTTTTTCCTTTAGTTTAGGGAAACAGATGGCAACAAGATTTCAGCTTTTTGTCTCCTCCCTTCAGGTCAGGACATCAAAATGCATTCATCAGTGCCTGGAAGTTGTGAAGAAACTTCTTTTAGTTCAGTCTGGCTCTTCTGCAAGTAATGCTGCAGAAGCATAGAATGGCTTGGGTTGGAAGGTTAAAGACCTTCTTGTTCCAATACCCCTGCTATGGGCAGGGACACCTTCCACTAGGTGCTCAGGCTGCTCAGAGCCCCATCCAGCCTGGCCTTGATCACTGCCAGGGACAGGGAACAAGACCACTTTCTCTTAGAAATTGTCCGGATTACTGAATATTGGCTTCTTTTATTTTCAGTGAAAAATGTAATCTTTCCTGTTCTCTAAGACTTGTGTACTTCATGGCAATGAATGCCAAATTCTAACACTAGGGGCAAGGCACCTTACTTATCCCTAAATTGAAATTGTCAGGATTTATGATTTGCCTGCCGGGATGTCTGCTCTGTTCCATGTAGATAAGTTCTGATGTCTTGGATCTGTTAGGTTTTAAGATATCCTTCCACCCTTCTTTTCAGATTATTCGTGTGTGTAGCATGTGTCGCCTTTGGCACTAGACACTTCTTTGTAGTGTTAATCTGCAAGTGTGGGACTAAAGCAGCTACTTCCTTTAAAAGAGCAAATTATTTGCTTAAATCTGCAAAGAAGGTGACCTAAATAGGTCTTGAGTGACCTACATAAGTGTGCACATCAGGATTCTCTCAGCCTTGTCTATACTGGGGAAGAAGTCACCTCTTCAGGTGGCTCTTTGACTTGTACTTTAGTTTTAGCCTTCCTCCTTTTCAGTGTTTGGGGGAGTTTTTATTTTTCTTGCTCTATTTGAAATTGTACAGCTAAAGCTTTGTTAATTGCCCTGAGTCACAGGAGTTGTAGTACACACAATGATCTTCTTTTTCTCATAATCTTCACTTCAGATAGCTTTCCTTACAGCAGATAAGAGGATCTCAGATAGTACCACCTTAGAGTAAACGAAGGGATCTCGAATAGAACAACTGTCTCAGATAGAATTGGAAATAAAATATGGAAAGAGATTCTTTCTGTTTGAGATTTGTCTTCTAAAGAATGGTATATCTGACCAAGCTATTCAGTATTGCTCTTTATTGCACAGATGCTGTTACTGATATGAGCAAATCCTTTCAGTCCTTTGAGATACAAACTGGTAATGTCAGCCTATATCAATCTTTCTACCAGGGATCAAAGCTGTCTTTATTAGCTCTGCTGGGTATTGATTGTTCATCAAATATAGTTTGTCTGAGTCTGAGTTTCTCGGTAAGTTGTTCCTCTTGAGCTTGGCCCAGTTCTGAAAAGGCAGGAGGAGTTTCCTTCATTCATTATCCCAGTAATCACCCAGTCATTGATCTTCCACACCCTCCATCCATTGGGCTTTGACTTTTGGCCTCCATCCCCGTGAAGACTGGGAACAGAACTGCTTTGCTGCACACCAGGCTGAATTAAAAAAACAGCTTGGGGTTATGAAATTACACCCATGGATCTGCTGGAGATCTGAGCTCTAAAAAATTTACTTTGCTGTGAAGTTGAGTGTCATGCAACTATCTTCATGTCATGAATGCTGTTGTTCTTTTCAAGCATAAGGTAGGAGTGACCAAACATGGTAAAATAGTTGTAAGATTGTAGGATTGATGCTTTTAGGAAAACATAAATTATCTCTGAGCTCTTGAGAAATTGTTAGATGTATAATCTAAAGTGACTAACTACTAAGATATCAGTCAGAAATGCAACTAACATCCTTCATGGCCTCTGTATTTCTGTATGTGCATTTTTTTATTCTCTTTCATTGATGATATAGAAGCAGCAGTTGAAAACAGAGCAATGTTTAATAAACAAGAATAAAATACACAGGAAGTGTAGAAAATTTAAGGAGATTAAAGTAAAATCCACGTTCATCAAGACTGAGAATAATTACGTAGTGTGCTGACAACCACAAAAGTCGTAACAGTAATGTGTTCTTGTTACCAAGTGAAATATATTTCGACACATATAATGTATATATGCACATAATATATTCTGTGTTGTTATTTCACCTTTGGTAGGCAAGATTCTATGCTATGGGGGTAGAATACTTTTTCTGGTCCCCCAATGGCTAAGGCACTTAGTTCTCTTTATTATGCAATGCTTTTGCTTCTGTTATTTTTCTTCTTGTAAATATGAAGCTTGTAAGCTTTCTATATCTTTGTACTTGTACATTGCAAAGTCCATTGAGATTTGGCCATCTTGATTTTAACTTAAATTGCAGGTTCTAACAGAGATGTAAGCATAAGCGGCTTTCACATGAAAGATGGTAACATTTTTCACCATGAAGGAATCAAGATGCTTATGGCAACTTCAGTGCCTGCACAAGTTGTCAGAGCAGGGCACTCAGATACTGCAGGTCTCTGACACACTGAGAGCCCAAATGAAGGCAACCCTGGAGAGATTACAAGGAGTATTTGCTGCATTCTTTTGAAACATACAGCAGAGGCTGTTCTGGCTTGAGTGCTGTCCAACCCTTCAGGCAGTGATTAGAGTACCACATCACCAATGAACTTTGTTAGCTTCTTTACTAAGAAGCACAGTTTTTCCAGTGTGTACGTTTGCCTGTGTTTCTTTTTATTGTGATGGGTAACCTTTGAAACACTAACCAACAGGACATTTTCTTCCTGTCATGGATTTTCAACACTGAAAACGCTTTAAGCCAACTTTAAAATATTTCTTTATTCCCACTCCCTGCTGCTGAAAATGATAGCCATTTAAATTTCTAATTATATGTTTAATTCTGTCTGTTGTTCCTTTAAAAGAGAATTCAAGCAGGACTTCTTTGAGAAACCATTCATCTTGTCATGCCTTCATGACAAAAATCTTCTAAAGATATATTTCAAATATTAAAGTAAAAAATAACAAGAAATACATGAAGTTATTCTAAAATTTATCTTTACAGTCATATTATGGATCAAAATAAATATTAAATTCTATCAAATTTTGTGGTAAGAAAGAACTTTGTATTAAATTATTCTAAGAGTAAAAAAATATAACACATTTCAAAAACTTTCTTGGCCAGGATATTTCAGTGCTGTGAAGAAATCAGTTTTGCTTTGAAACATTTTCCATAAGAATACATTGTTTTCTATGATCTGTAGAAACCTGGGTCAGCTCCTATTTTACTGAGGCACACTGGCTGTCAGTTGTCTCACTCCCTTCTTACATTCTTTAATATTGGCCCAACATTAAAAGTCCCTCAGTCTTTGGAAGCTTTTCTCATCAGCTCAAGACTTAAAGCGTGCTGGTATTTGTTTATGAAGTACAACCAGTAGATGCTTTAGGGCTCTTGGGTGCAGGTTATCCATATTCTTCTGGCTTAAGTTTAAGAGTTTAGCCTTCTTAAAGGTTGTTCAACAGTCTTCTTTTGTTGGCAGGGAAAATATTACTTCATTCTTCTATGATATTAATACATCGTTCTAATTCTTTCCAAGTGGAGAACAATTACTTCCACTGTCTTTTATTGGTTTTACTGTTTAATCACCGGGAAATGTTTGTGAAGATTTTCCCTGCTATCACTGTCCATGAGTTTCATATTGTTCCTTCTTTTGCTGACCCAGATAATTTTTTCTTTGACATTTTTAATATTTTTTTTCTGCTCCTTCTGTTTTTATGTTACTTTTATTTTCTTCTCTGATCCAGGATTTCTGAAAACCAAAGTTGTCCTTTTCCCTCTGTTGGGGCCCTTTGGCTTCAAATTTCACTTTTTGCTTACAGCTGACAAAATACAGATATGTGGTTTAATTCCACTTGTTCTCATTTGGGGAAGCTTTTTTTTCTGGGACTTTGACTAGCGCTTGATGCATTTCATCAGTTTGTGGTCACTGATGGTGAGTTCATGACCATTATTTCCTACTGTGAGAAGAAATTTATCCTCATATATTAAAGAAATTCTAAAAAATCATCTCCTGAATGACTGAAAAACTTCAGAAACCTATATGTAACATTTGGAAAACTTGGAAAGCTGATCCTTGAAGTGGTATTTTGTGTATTATCCATGCAATTTTTATGCTTGCTTTAGTTCTAGTTGTTGGGGGGCTTTCTGCAATTTGGAAGTTTTATTATTTTGTCCTGTTAAGACTAATGCAGTGGACTCCTTCTAGGATCCTTTCTCTTTTTCACGTTCTCCAGGCTTTTAATTGTATATTGATAAGTCTTTATTCAACATTTTGAGCTTTCCTTTTAGTCTAACACAGAGTTTGGCATCTGGGCACATTTTAAAATTCCTTTTTTCTTGCCTGAATGGATGACAGGAAATAAAACTGATCCTCTTTTTTTTTTTTAAAACTTTGTTTCTTTTAATGCTTTTAACTATATTTTGATCACTTAGTGATTGTCCCCCCAACAGTTTGCAGGAAGCTTTTGAGTTCCTTTCTGGCCAAGATGTTTAAGCCCCCATTTATTTGTGTTTTTCAATGTAAGTGACCAACTCTTAAAAAAGAGAATTAGTGCTTTTCAGAGCCCATGCAGCTGGCAGCTCATTTTAATGGAGCTAGTCCTGCTTCTGGTGGAACTCCTGCCTTCTCATTCTTGTGGAGACAGTTCAGAAAGTACCTGTATTCCCCCTTCATTTCAACTTTTTTGAGTTTAGAGGTTGATGTATATTTTCATGTGTTTGTGTGTGTAAGAAAGACAGGGCTGGAGCAGCTCACTCTGTTCTCCCACAGGGACATGGGGTGGTGGTGGACATGGCAGGGTCAGGTTTATGGTTGGACTTGATAATCTTAAAGGTGTTTTCCAACCAAAATGATCCTATATAGACACAAACATTTATCTCATAGACACACATTTATGTAGAGACACACATGCAAACACATACATATCCATTTCCTGGGCTCAATCACAATAATTTTTTGTATCTCTGCTCCTGATGGTCCTTCTCTGAGTTGCCAGCATCTGTCACTGCTTTACCAGTCTCGGGTGGGAGCCAGATCCCTCCGTGCCAGTCTCTGCAAAGGGGCAGGCACTAAGCAGCACATTTGCAAGACCACAGCTTCATTTGTGGTCTTGCAGTCCTAATCTGTGTTACCAGTTTGTGCTCTGTGAGGTGAACTCCCTGTTTTATCTCAGTGACTCAGTAGGTGACTTTAGGCTGTATGTCAGAAAAGTTGCATTTATTAAGTATTTGTGTGATGCCTGTCTTTAAGAATAAGAGTCAGGCTGCAACAGCTGGGCAGGCACAGTCTGCACATTAAGGGAGGACAAATGTAAGTGTGTGAGCTGTGCTCTGTCAAGTTGTTTAGGTTTTGTGCATTGCCTTTTAACCTTTTTTTATCCTTTCCTTAGGGATTTGTGCCTGGTCTGTTTGGAACATCTCATGGAGCACTTCAGTTCATGGCCTATGAGGATTTGAAAGAGAGATACAACAAGTATAGAAACAGAGTATCAGATACAAAATTGGTATGATGCTTGAGAATAAAATTATGTTGGGGCCTGTAAATAAATAGAAGTTGATTCGGTTTGTTGGGTTAGACAGCAGCCAAATGTACAAAGTATTGGTACATTAATTGAAATGCAGAATATTTAGAAGAAAATAATACTTTCTCACTTTTTAGGAACAAGCAACTGTTTCTCACTGTTCTTAAAAACCAACTTCTTATTTTGGCAAGTGTTTTGAGAATCTTAGAGGAAGGAATGAGGGTTTTTTCTTTGTGGAACCAGAGGGGTTGGTATTTAACCCTGGAAAACTGTTGGGGGTGCAAGTTGGGCAAAGGTAGCTACTTTAGGAAGAAGTGTTTCTCTTGATGGGACTGAGAAGGCACAACACATGTTTTACAGTCAATTACTTGTAGCACTGCATGTAGTAAACACTGACATTTCTTTTAATGTGTTGTATTATAAGGGGGAAAAATCTAGAGTGTTGTTTGGTTGTACATTTAAAAATCAAATAAGATTTTGGGAACTCGCTAATTTGAACCATGCCTAAGACAAGCCTGACAATTTTTGTTGCTTTTAGAACACTGTGGAATACATAATGATGGCAGCTGTATCCAAAATATTTGCTGTGGCAGCAACATATCCCTATCAAGTTGTGCGAGCTCGCCTTCAAGACCAGCATAACACATATTCTGGGGTGTTTGATGTGATCCGCAGGACATGGAGGTAGGTGTGCAAAATTAAAAGCCTACATGTTGGAAACTGAGCTTTACAGAATCAGAGCTACCTTTACTGGCTTCTGTGCTGACTTGCAGAACCAGTATTGTTCAGGGCAAACAAAGTGTTAGTTGTACAAAGTCATATTGTGCAAGATGCCATCAACAGCTGTAAGCTAAGGAGAGAGGAGGAGATAGGACAGAGTCAGTGCCCCCCTGCAGGTTTCTGTTGTTTATTCTGTCTGCCTGCTCTCTTCAGCGAATTTCACAGGCTGAAAAATAACATTGTCATGGCCAGTTTGGGACTAAATGAAGTCTCACTTGAACTGCTTTAGTTTATCACATAGGACAGGAGTGTTGTGCTGCTGGGAATTGTGGCTAATCCAAATTCCTGGCAAGGTGAAGTCAGCTAGCCAGTGCTGATTATACTGATGTCCCTGGGTTACCCTGGGGCCTGACTGCATTTGTAGTCTAGTCCCAGCTTCCTGTAGGACCTTTGGAGACCTTTTCATATCTTCTCACAAAACTTCTCTGAGCTCCAGAGTGCAGGGGAGAGTTTTCCCACAGACTGTGTAGTTACTAAGGATGGCCATCTCTGCACTGCACCCATTGCTTTGGGCAGTGCTTCTGGGCTGCAGCATATTGCTGGAGAGAGGAGAATGGAGTCCTGGGCTGTGAAGAGGTGCCTGCTGAGCAAGTGACCGAGGCTGCCTTGTTCCAGGAGCACCCCTGGTTCAGAGGCTGTACAGCCTTTTTGACTGGAGGCAATCGAGTGCAAAAATAGCTCTGATGTGTCAGTGCTGTGCCCTTCAGTGCTGCAGGCTACAGGAAGGCTTGTTGGTTCTGGTCAAGTGTAGTGCAGCCATTCTGGGGCTACTGCTGTGCTCGTGATGAAACAAATGTGACTTAGGGAGGGTAGTGTAAACCACATCCAGGCATTCTCAGGAACTCTGTTTACTCATCCTTCCAGGTGTCCTAGGCCTGTGAGACCAGCACCTAAAGAGCTGACATTTAATGTCTCTGAAAGTTTTTAACAGCCCTAGCATGGCACACAGATTCAAATTGGGTCAAATTACATTCTCATTTTTTGGCCAGTAGAATCAAAATTCTGGAGGGGTTGCTTAAATTCTCAAAAATTGAATGCTGACTTTTCTTAGTTGTTTAGCCAGTTCTTGTAGCATGAAGAAAGATGGTAAATTGCCTTCTACTTAGACAATACCCACAAAAAAACATTCAAAGCCTAGGCTAAATAGCTGACCTACATAAAGCTACTCTGTGTAAAAAATGATGGGTTAATCCTTGATGCACTTTAAACACTGTGTGAAATTATTATTTCTAACCTGAAGTACGTCTCTCAATGGGAGTGTGAGAAATAAAATACCAGGCTTTGTTCTATGTCTGATTTTTTTCTATTAAAAGACGTTAATTAAAACCTTTTTTTTTTCTTTAAAGGAAAGAAGGTGTTCATGGATTTTACAAAGGAATTATACCTAATGTGATCAGAGTGACTCCTGCCTGCTGTATTACCTTTGTAGTTTATGAAAATGTGTCTGGCTTTTTACTTGGTTTTAGAAAAGAAAATAATTAAAGGTATGAACTTGTGTTCCTAGGAAGGAATCTATCCTTTATTTTTTATATTTATGATCTGGGAGAAATTTAGTTCAGCAGTCTTCTTTGACACTGTGAATTGATCTGGTATTTTGAGGAAAGAATGTAGAGACAATAAACCCTGCCAACATCTCTCCTGTTCAATATTCCTGCATTGCTGCCTTCCTCTCTGAATCAGCTGCGTCTGCTTGAAGCAGATGTCTGCAACTGTGAAATAATAGTGCTGTGACTGGGTGAAGGCAGCTGCACAGCAATTCCATTCATCCTGGCCTGCCTGGAATAACCCACTAAGCAGTTTCAACAAGTCTCAAGATAACAGTTGGTGAGATTCTGCTCCTGCACAACTGGAAAACTTCACATGAAAGCAGCCCTGGAGCCTGTCAAAACTTTCTTAAATCTTTGAGTCTCATTAAACAAGGAATGTCGTCTGAATCCACCTCTGTGTTATTTGTCAGATTTTAGGATATGGAATGCTCCAGACTCTGTTGTTCATCCAACAAAAAAATGCTGCCTCAGTGGGGTGCAGTTTGGAAACTGAAATTGTTTTTTTAAAACAGCTGTCCATTCTTGGGTTTGAATAATTGCAAGTCTGATGAAACTCAGCTCTTGTCTCATACCAGGACAGATTTGCACTGTGGTTTTTAATTTGGTTTTAGCAGCAGATTGACATGCATTGCTGGCCACTTAATTCATTTTCTCTCTTTCATTCTTTCTCCGTCTCTCTTCATGCCAGAGTCTTTCTCCGTTAATGATACAGCTGACCAAATATTTAAGTAAATGCATATTTGAAAGTGGGCTTGCATTTTAAAGATGAGGATTTTTTTTCTAGTAATCCCACGGTGATCAAACCAGTCTAAGTAACAAATAGGACCATACTTACTTTCAATAATATCCTCTAGGAAAAAAAAGTTTCTAGTCTTAAAAAAATCCTGTGCATAGGACTTTCTTAAAAATACCAGAACAATCCGTTGATATCTTCTGATTTGGTTTAAGGAAAAGATTGTTAATATATTGATTACTAACTTCCTGTTAAATTAAATTATAGTACCTCTCAGTAAATTTGTATAATAATTATGGGGTTTTTTCCACACCAGTAATTGCCATCAAGGATATATACTTTTTAGAGCTCTGGGTTTTGTGGTTTGGGATTTTTTATTTCTTTAAGAAAAGGCATTTCTGACCCTAACATCTTCTTGCTGTTGTTGTAAGAAGATATTAAGTATCTAGTAAGTATCATTTAACTAGGAAATAAGTTAGCAAAGGCTATCCAACAGTTAGGGGGAAATCATCAGTTGCAATGGGAGCAGAATAATGACTTAGAGAAGTTTCCTGTTTACCAGACTAACCTAAAGCAGAAAGAAAAATTTTAATAAAAAATTTAACAGATTCGGAACTTGGTTTAAATTTGAAGTTAAAATCTGGAAGGCTACAGAAATTACTCAGTATTTTGAATCTTTGTTCGGTGATCCACTTGCCTGTTTTTGTAGCTACTGTTGCCACATACCACATTTTGTGTATTACTAAGTTTATTAATAATTTATACTTTCTCTTCCACAATCCCATCTCCTCTACTGATAAGAGTTTTTAATCCCATTAGATAATCTCATCTGGGACCACTATGGCTGGCTTTGGTTTTTATTATGGAAGGTTGTGTGTGTATTTAGCTGAAGGTAAATTTACTGGAAGTTTACCATGTCAATTATGTAGATCCATAACAGCAGCTTCTGCCTTTGGAGGGTCCTTACTGGAGTTTGTGTGTTTTCTGGTACACAGAATGAATTTAATGGAACACTGAGTTACCTCTACCACCCAAGGGTCCAAAACATATTGTGAAGACATAGGAAAATATCATAAAAGAGAGAAAGCTGTGCATGTGCTACCCTGGATTAGTGTGCTCTGGGCGCAGAACAGCTTTCTCATTCCTCAGGATAAGTGCAGGGACAGGCTGGGAGCACGGGCACAATCCCTCACTGTGTGCTGACTGACGCTCTGGGCGCTCGCACCGCAGCTCAGCTCATAGTGACTTGTTTGTGTTCAGATACCTTAAAACCATCGTCCAAGCCAGTGAAAACATTACAGTTCTTCAGAGACAAAATGCCAGCTGTGTAACTTGCTGGCTTACAGCAAATCTCACACACCATCTTGCAGTTGGGCAAGCCCAAGTGCTCCCCTCACTGCAGGTGTCCTCCCCCAGTATCTGCAACAACAGCTACAGGCAAGAGCTACCCATCCAAGAGATGCCTAGGGGAAATCTTGCAGCCTGTTCAGAAAAGGAGATTTAATCCTAAATAGCTGAAATAAATTACTTATCTCAGATTTAATGTTTTTCTTTCCTTTTAATTTCTGAGAAGAGTGGAGATTTTTGCATGTTGTACATGCTTTTTGTGGGATTTTTATTTCATAAATGTAAAATTGATTTTGTAATACAAACATGACTATTGTTTTTCTTTAGAATGTGTGCAATTTTTGAAAATACTTGAGTAGGTCACAATATTTGGAAGAAAATACTTAAAACACTGACGCTTATGGCCTGTTGGCGTGATCGGTGTTGTCACTTGTCAAACAGCTGTAACATCGTTGTTTCACTTTACTAGTTCACTTTTTGAAAGCCTAGGCATTTCAACCTGCCTTATTTCTCTATCTTCTGAACTGCTTAATATATCTAGCTTTTAACTAACACCAAAGTGATTCTATTTATCTGAAAGGGTAAATCCGGGAGAATTATTTTATTGGAGCAATGAAATTAATTGTTGTAACTGTAAAATTATTTAGTGTCTGCATCTTAGTAGTGAAGACCAGTCATAGATGATATACTGAAATGCAGTCTATCAAGAAACAAGAGAGGGAAGGAGAGCTCAGATTGTCTGGTTTTGTTCAGTTATTCATAATGAGGTGTTTAACACTTACCACGTTGTCTAGGTCACAGTTAAGTCACGAGGAGTTTGTTGAGAGACAAGACTGTAACAGCAGAGCATCCTATTCAGCAGTCAGCTGATTTTTCTTTCTTAGAAATTTATAAAGCCTTCTAAAAAAATCGTGTATCATAACACCATGTAAAATACCTGAAACACATTAATGTTCAATAAAGTACCCTGGATTTTGTTTTGTAAAAGGTCTTATTTATTTGATACAAAATGTTATGGTTAATTCTAAAAACAGTGGTGGTATTACATCAAAAAAGAAATATAAAACATTAGTGAACTTGGTTTTGCTATTTATATTCTAAAATGATTATTATAAAAAGCCTCTGCCATGTGCAAAACAAGACAAAGGCTACAGATGCAAGGCTTTGGTGCCTTTCAGTCCAGTACTTGCATCCAACTCTATAGAAATAAATTCTGAAAAAAATAGTACAAATTTTTTTTTTTAAAAAAAGGTCTTATAAAAAGGGAGGCAAGTTATTTTGGCAGTTCTTCAATGATGATTCGGGAGACTGAATTCCATCCAGTAGAAGCATCTCCCCGTGGATAATCTGAGCACGTCCCAACCCAGATGGCAATATCCACCAAGCCAGCGTTGATCCCTTCACACAGACCTTCCACTGGTTAAAGACAAAAATCAGGTACCTCAGCAGACACAATCCCTTTATATTTCACAACTGAAGGTTGTGAAGTACTTCAGAACAGAATTTTGTTGCAAGCTTTGTCCTATGTAGTTAAATGCAAACAGTTTTTAGAATTTTAGAACAATTTCAGAAATAAAAACTCTTATGTAGCGATGTGGCAGCATCAGTTACTGCCACGCAGTGCCTCTGTCCCTGCTGCTGTTTGACACTCATTGCAGTACTTGAAGCAGATCACAGTCCCCAGGATGGCCAAATGGGAGGTATAGCTGCTGCTTTAAATACCCAAATTTACACACTGGGAGCTGAAATATGGCTTCATACTGCTCCAGACATCTTTCTAGCAGTGATGGGAGGGGATGGGGGCACAGCCATGCCTGGTTTACAGCTAAGCCCTGTAAAGGTGATTGTCACGCTGTAAGCTTTTCCCCTCCTAAGTCACTGCTTCTGTGTAAAGTTCCCCTCCTGCTGCCTCACTAGCCCCACTAGTTGGAGGTGGGGTAATGAAGACCAGTCAACTCTGTGCCTATGCTGAAAAAATCCTATAATAGCTCTAGACATGATTTTGTGCAGTCATGCCGTACAGGGAGGAAAATGGAGAAAGGGCACAGAGTTTACATTCCCTTTTCTTAGTGTCACATCCTTTTATGTTGAATGAATTCACTAATTTGCCTCTGCTAAACAAATTAATAATTGCTCTCAGATATTTCACTTTGGAGGTACTTTTGTGCCCCACCTGAAATCAGAGTAGAAATTGTAGGAAGTATTTCTCATTTTTTGCACAGATAACGTGCAAATATCACTATTTTAAGCCAGCATGACACTATCTACTTGGCAGTAAGGCTGTTTCTCCATAGGCTAATACAGCACAGAATGTCTCTGTATCATGTTGTGGGACAGATCAGTAGACCTGTCTGGACATAAATCTCAGGATACAAGTATCATGAAAAATACCACAGCAAGAAAGTACCACTTAATAAATCATTATAATACTGTTACTATCAACAGTCAGTTCTGAGGCAGGAGAGTAAGAGGAACAAATGTTATCTGGCCACTCTTCTGCCTCGTTTCAGCCCTCTGACCTCTTGGGGCAGATGGCACCCTGTGCCTTTGGTAACTGCTGCTGCCTTTACTCCACCTCTGCTCTGCCAGCATACATACCTGAAGAAGTTCTGTGTATGTTAATAGTAGAATTCAGCTCTGGGCTCCCTTGATCTAGGTATATGATGGCTTCAATCGGCAGTGGCCCAGCACACTCTGCCCCGTTGAAGGTGAAGTACCAGCGCTGGCAGCAGGCGTTCCTGCACTTGAGCCGAAGGGAGCCGCTGAAGAGCACGCGGAGAGCGCTGTTGGAGCGCATCTTGGTGAACGTGCACTCCTGGCAGGACACAAAAGGCTTTGCTACCAACCTCTGCTTCAGCCTGTTTGTTTTCTATATATTTATATTCAGGACAGATCGGCAATATATGTCAAAATGTTTTGGCTATTTTCTTTAGTTCCCTCTGGGAAAAAAATAATCATAATTAGAGCCTGGAAATAATAATAATTAGAGCCTTGTGGTGCAAAGATGCAAATCAGAGCAGCATCTCGTAGATGGTAAAGGAGAAAAGGATTATGGAAATTCTTTATTTAGATAACATCTGCTGTTAAGTTGGTAGCTTGGTTACCTTCTGGGATTTATGTAAAGGGAAATAAGATCTCTGAAAACTGCACTCAAACCACACAATCATAAGGATTGGAAGAGGCCTCTGAAGATCATCTAGTCCAACCCCCAAGTCCTTGCATGACAAGACAGCATAGTTTCTGTCTCTGCTAACAGAAATCTTGGACTTAACGATTATCACAAGACTTCTGAGCAGTTTATGCCCAATAAAAGCTCCACAACTGAAAAATAAATATTTTCAGGTTTTTAAGTGGTTGTTAACCTGTCTTCAAAATGCTGGATATTATAGGGGGGAAAAAAAAAAAAGGATAAGGACAGTTCTGAAAGTAGAAGGCAGTGAGAAAAGTCTACTGAAAAGGTTGATTCTCCCTCTAGCCACAGCATAGCAGTTAAACTGCTATAACCACTCTGGGCTTTGTTTCATAGCTGGGATTGAGCAGGGATTTTTTCTGGAAGTTTTACACCCAGGGCTGCAGTGGAGCAGCAGACTGACACTGTTTGTGTCAGTCTGGGTGACACTGGCAATTCTGCTCCTGAGCAATGCTAATCCTCTGCAACTGAGTTTCAGTGAACAACCACTTCAAAGCTAGTTATAAAGACAGGTACAATTAGCAGATTAAAGATATTTGTTCCTTTTTAGGACTAGAATGGTGAAAACCTTGCCTTGTTTTGGGCAAGCTAGAGGTACTTTTTTGGTAACATGACTTTCAGCCTTACAGTTACAGATCTGGTCTACTAAATGTACTCTTACACCAGCTATAAAATTCTTCCGAAACCCTAGTCCTGAAATGAAACAGGCACATAGCTGAAACTCAGCTGAGAGGAATCCGAGGTAGCAAAGCCTTTGAGAAGTTCACCCTCACATGCAGGAAAAGGCCTCAGAAGGAGAGGCTGACCCGAGCCTGCTGTGGTGGTGCAGCCCCTCCCGGCACAGCCAACTCACCGCGATCTTGCCAAGGTCGATGCCGTAATTGAGCGCGCTCCACGAGCACTGCTTGAAGTTGGGTGTCCAGGACTCCTCGATGCTCTCACGCATGCACTCGCCCTTCTCCCCTTTCAGCCCATCCCGGCCCGGGATCCCAGGTGTCCCAGGGATCCCGTTGGCTCCCGGGTTTCCATCCCGTCCGGGAACACCACTGGGACCTTGTAAGCACATGCCATTATACTGGAAGACAGAACAGATCTTGCTGCTTCTTCCATCCCTTAACTCCCAGGCTAACCAAATCAAACACAAATGAGTAACAACAAAACACAAACACACTGCTGTGCCACAATGGGCTATTTCTGCATCTCTGAGAAAATGGTTCCACAGAAATAAGAATGAAGAAAAATAAATTTTCAAAGATAAGCAGTGCCAGTAGAATTTGCTGTAAAATAAGATGCCTTTTTAAAATGAAAAGATACAAAAATCCTAGAATTAAAAATCTACCTAGTCCAAGAATTAAAACCTGTTGGAAAACCTCAGAAGAGTCAAAACATTTCAATAGAGAAACAAAAAAAGGAGTCACATTTTAATCATTACTTCCTCCTAACCCACCAATTACTTGTATAACTGTCTATGCCAATACATTTTCAATATTATTTTTCCTTTTTATTTTTTTTAACAGAAAATTTTCCATTTCACAGAGAGTAAATGTTAATGCCACTTTTCTTCTGTCACTTCTCTGGTACACAACCACATCATGATAATCAAGCCCCACAATTCAGCCTCCAGTATGCCCACAAAAGGATGGTGATATGGATGTGGGAAGCTGCACCCTGGTAAAGCTGAACTCGGGAACCTTGTTTGTAACAGTGGGAAGGCACATATGGGAGGAGGGCACACGAACATCCTTCCTAACATCACACCACAAGAAAGGTCAAATGTTGCTCTCCCAAACTCCATGTTAACACACATCACCTTCACGCTTTATGAGACTTGGGATTGCCCATCTTGGAGGGTAGGTCAGTGAAGCACAGAGCTCAATCCCCCAGCAGTCTGAGTGCTGGGATGCAGGAGGAGCACTGGTGTCAGGCAGCACGGGAATGCTGAACAGGAACCTGCAGGAGCTGGCCATGGCTTTTACTTTGTGTTCTCTTTCCCATCTGGTGACTGACTGCTTCCTCTGGTCTTCATCCCAAATCCTCACAGATAGCTGTGTTCTGCTCTTCCACTTTCTCGTATTTATTTGTCTTTACCTAGTTTAAACCACCTAATCCTCACCTGTTTCAAAAAGAAACAGTGCTGCAGCTATTCCCCCTCATGCCAGCCATGCTTCTGTCTGCACTGCAGGAGTTGTAAACTACAGCCCCTGCCCTCTTTCCTTTGTCAGACTGGTGAATTTTCTTCACTGAGGCTGTGTCTTTTCACAGGCTTTGGTGCAAAAACCAGTGGAGCCATCACGGGCTTAGCTGGAGCCACACCACAAGTAAAATCAGTGACTATATGGAGAGGTCTAGTAAGAAGTCAGATGAGGGTCTGACTAATGGTTGCTAGCTTTCCCTTACTATCTTCACCAAAGAAAACCCTGCTGGCTAAAGGCAGTGGAATTATTGGAATATTTTCATGAAGAAAACCATGTTTTAGAAAAGTTAGCTGAAGAGAAGGCTGGTTGGCAAAGCACACACCAGCCTGGGAGAACAATGCAGACATTTCTATTTCACACAGCAACAGTTATCTGGGTCTGCTGCTGCTTTCCCACTGGACTCTATTTGTAACAGTGACTGGCTTTGGCTTTTGCATGTGGTTACTCACCGCAGAAATCCTGGATGTGGAAATAGGCAAGAGCTGGGGGCAGGCCAAAGCTCTGGCCTATTGCCCCCATCCCCAGAGACACCAAGAGGGGCTGGCCTGCCTTCACAGAGGAGCTGCCACCCACAGCCAGACAGGGAGAGCACTTCAGCCACGACACATCCCAACATTAAATGGGAGCACAAGAATCACCTGGGCTTTGGGCTCCACTCCAACTAAAATTGTCTGTCTTGCCAAGTCAAGCCTTTTTCATGCTTTCTTAAGCTGGAAATGCATAAAACATATTTTAAATATCCACTGAAGGCAGGATCCCCCCTTGGTCCTGCCTCCACTCTGCCCTGGCAGGGGTTCTGCTGAAGCAGTCTGTACAGCTGGGCTGTGCATGAGTCAACGGCCATTGATTTACCAGCTCTTTGATGCTCACTCTGTTGCACCCAAAAAGCACCGAGCCAGTTCAAAGAAATGAGAGACCCTGAAATACTGCTCAGAAAATGTTAGCTCATCCATATGTACAGACTCCTCATTCTCAATGCAATTAAATTTCCACAATAAAAGTGAAAAGGCAATGAAGTAGAGTAAGGGAAGGAGCTTTGCTAGCAGTGGTGCTTCCAGCACATCACTTTAGGGGATCTCTCTGGAGATCATGGAAGAAATGGCCATACCACTGATTTTCTATAGAAGGTGAACTCACTCCAGCAGCTCACAGAAATACCTTCACATCTGCTTTCTACATTCCAAGGACTGGAAAATTTCCCTCCTGTCATCTCTCCCTGAGATGGGATAGTCCCAATGCATTCAGGTTTCTAGTAGCAATGGAATTGCCAACAGTGGTGTGCAGTCCCTGCCGCCAAAGGAAATAATGCATTCATGCCGCTCCAAAGAAGTGTGTTGGGTAAGCATGCAGATAGTTTTCAGAGCATGCAGATAGTTTTTCTCATTACTATATATCCACTAGCATTTTAGGAGCTAAACAGCAGTTAACTGCTTATGTTGGAAGGACCTAAGAAGCATTTACTACTTATGTTGGAAGGGCTGTAAGATTCGGCGTTTTCCCTGCAGGGCGCAGAGCGCAGGAACCAGCCCAGGGCGATGTCCCCCGGAGCCAGCCCCCATCCCCGACCCTGGCCCGATGGGGAAAGCACTAAAACACACACCGGGCCGCCGAAACCCTGCGCTTTGTGCCAAAGCCCGTCCAGCGCCTTCTCCGCGTTTTCCTGATTCAGCACAACAAGGGCATAATTAACTGAATGAACCAAGAGCTCCGGACCGGCGCTGCCCTGCCTGGAGAGGCCGCGAGGTTTTTCCAAAGCCTCTCATCTATCGCTCTTTTCGTACCTTTGCAATAACAAAGCGGCTGCGTGGCTCCTCCAGCCACCCCCCGCCCGCCGGGCTCCCCCAGCACCCCCGCCGGCCCCGCTCCCGCTCCCGGCCCCGCCGCTCTCACCACGTCCACCACCTCCCGCTGGCGGAGCGCCTTCTCCTTCTGCTTCCCCTTGGGGCTCTCGGAGCCGCCGTGCGGCGGGGCCGCCGCCAGCAGCAGCGCCAGCAGCAGCAGCAGCGGGGCGGCGGCGGCGGCCGGGCCGCGGGGCATCATCGTGCGGCGGGATGCAGAGCCGGGGCCGGCGGCAGCAGGAGCCCGGGACGCCGCTCTGGGCGGCAGCGCGGGGATAAATGAGCCTTTCAGAGCGCGCAGCCCGAGTTCCCTCCCCGGGGAGGCCGAGAATTTCCATCCTGTAACCGGGCGAGACGGCCCGGCGGAGCCACCCCCCCGCAGCCATTGGCACGGGCCGGGGGCTCCCGCCCCCTCGGGCCGGCCCCGCCGAGCTTTTCCCGGCTCTGCCGGATCCCCCAGTCCCGCCGAGCTTTCCTCGGGCGATGCCGGATCCCCTGGTCCCTCCGAGCTTTCCCCGGCTCTCCTGGATCCCCCGGCCCCGCCGAGCCCGTCGGCACCAGCGCTCCTGGGCCGTTCCCGGCTCTCCCGGAGCCCGTCCCGGCTCTCCCGGAGCCCCAGGCAGTTCTCTTCCACTTCTTCAGGTGTTTGCTCGGCAGTCGGTGACTCCTTTCCGATGGAGGAGCTGTCTCTGCAAGAAGCCGCCTGTGCCACAGCGGGGTCCTGATGCACCGTGAGGAGAAACTGCGATAAAGTATCAGCTGGGCATCATCAAATTTCATTTTAACAGCAGTCAAGGTAAGGACACAAAATCTTTCTGAACAGTAGGGGACTTGTGACTTTTTCGAAAAACCTGGTGTTGCCAGACTGAACATTCTCAATTTAGTACCAGAAGGAAAGTTCTTGGCTACTCAGTGTAAACCATCTCATATTGCTTTCATTAAAAATCATTACTTGCTTTTCATCATTCTAGAAATGAAAGCACTGTAAAATAAAGGATGTGATATGTCCTCAAGAATTCAAAATAGAAATAACAAATGTTTGAGAGGTAGCTTGTGCATACTGCAGACTTCGTGGAATTTGTAAGAGGTAGAGTTTCCAGAAGAGGGAGATAAACTTCAACACAATTTTTTTTCTGAAGTATTTAACAAAACCACACATTTCTCCTGCAGGAAAGAATGCTACAAGAAGTTGAGTCATTCAAATAGGCTGCATGGAACCATATTTTTGTGTAGACTGAACCCCTCCATGTTGCTCTGGTGGAACAATAGCAGTGAAGTGAGATCTACACCACAGGTCGGTGGCACTGCTGTCACCAACCCTGTCATATGCTGTCCTGAGAACCGGGACTGATGTCAGCCACATTGCTGGGGTGAGGGCTCCTGCCTTGTGAAGAAGGGCAGCGTTACACCCTGCCAACTTAAAAAAAACAGCTGGTAAATAATAATGGTTCCCTAAACCAGCTGGGAAAATTTATGGAATTATGTAAATCCTCAGTTGTAACAATTGCTTTGGTGACAGCCTCAGTCAGCATCCACAAACACACACAGGCAAGGCTTCATTGAGCAATTGTGTGGCGCTGTCAGCAAACGCTGCTGCCTCTGGCCTGGGCTGGTGGCAGTCCTGTGAAGGCAGCAATGTTTGATTTCTGTGTCACCTGCGTGTTCACACAAGCATCCTTACCAAGGGATGGGGATCCTCAGCATCAACACAGGCTGTTGCTAGGGTGTGTCCCTTCACAGGGTGCCAAACTTCTGCATTACAGAATTAATTTCCCCAGGCAAGGTGCAGCAGCTGAAGTACACAGTGCAGTAGCACTGCACACCTTCCTAAGGCAATCACTCAGGATTTTAGAGAACAAAATTTGCATGGACATTCACAATTATTTCCCCACCTGGGTTTGTTCACCATATATTTGAGTGTGATTAAGAAGCTTTGAAATTCCAAATGGCTTTGCCAGAGGAAGAAAACTGAGGAGTATGTAAGACAAGGTCTTAGCAAACAGCAGTGGGACATCTGCTTTGAGCTCTGGTGAGTGCATTGTGCAGCT